CCACAGCATCCTCACGGCTAAATTGAGGAAGTGTGGACTGGATGATCAGGTAGTGAGGTGGACTGCGAACTGGCTGAAGGAGAGAAGCCAGAGAGTTGTAGTCTATGGGGCTGAGTCTAGTTGGAGGCCTGTAACTAGTGGAGTGCCTCAAGGGTCAGTACTGGGACCGGTATTATTTAATATATTCATCAACGATTTAGATGAGGGAATTGGAGTGTACTGTCAGCAAGTTTGCTGATGATGCTAAGCTGGGAGGAGTGGCTGACACACCAGAAGGCTGTGCTGCCATCCAGCGAGACCTGGACAGGCTGGAGAGTTGGGCAGGGAATAACTTGATGAAATATAACAAGGGAAAGTGTAGAGTCCTGCATCTGGGCAGGAACAACCCCAGGTTCCAGTATAAGTTGGGGAATGACCTGTTAGAGAGCAGTGTAGGGGAGAGGGACCTGGGGGTCCTAGTGGGTGACAGGATGACCATGAGCCAACACTGTGCCCTTGTGGCTAAGAAGGCCAACGGCATCCTGGGGTGTATTAGAAGGGGGGTGGTTAGTAGGTCGAGAGAGGTCCTCCTTCCCCTCTACTCTGCCCTGGTGAGACCCCATCTGGAATATTGTGTCCAGTTCTGGGCCCCTCAGTTCAAGAAGGACAGGGAGCTGCTGGAGAGAGTCCAGCGAAGGGCGACAAAGATGATTAGGGGAGTGGAGCATCTGCCTTATGAGGAAAGACTGAGGGAGCTGGGTCTCTATAGTTTAGAGAAGAGGAGACTGAGGGGTGACCTTATAAGTGTCTATAAATATATAAAGGGGGAGTGTCACGAGGATGGAGCCAGGCTCTACTCAGTGGCAAACAATGATAGGACAAGGGGTAATGGGTACAAACTGGAACACAAGAGGTTCCACTTAAACTTGAGAAGAAACTTCTTCTCAGTGAGGGTGACGGAACACTGGAACAGGCTGCCCAGGGAGGTTGTGGAGTCTCCTTCCCTGGAGACATTCAAAACCCACCTGGACACATTCCTGTGTAACCTTATCTAGGTGTTCCTGCTCTGGCAGGGGGATTGGACTAGGTGATCTTTCGAGGTCCCTTCCAATCTCTAGCATACTGTGATATGAATAAATATACAGTTTCCAGTTTTCTCTGGAGGTCTTCCCTAAACAGTGTAACTTCAAACTGTCTGGTTTAATCTCAAATTTTTCTTCAGTACTGAACTTGAAATGAAATCCCATTTTCCTCGTGTTATTTTCTTTTTTATTTTTAATTTAAGATCTTTTGGTTTCTGTTTAGACAAAAATGAGACATTTCCATATCTGTCCCTGAAAAATTAGAGAAAGTTGAAACTGTATCTGACATTTTGGGTATATGACATAATCAGGCAAGGCAAAGAGCTTCAGGTAACTGGTATCACTTAGTAGACCAATCTTTACTTATTAAGGGATTATGAAGCTTTCAAAATAGATGCATTTGAAGAAGACCAGTCAGAATAAAAGATAGATCACAAAGAAGAATTGATTAGAAACATAGATTCATCCCCCTAAAATAATTTTCTGAAAATCAGGTGTCCTCTAAACTCTATGGTAAATGGAGGGGAACACATTTCCAGAGCATGATTAATCTATTATTTTTAGGTATCCAATTCATATTAACACAAGTTACTTTTCTAAGTGCAAATTTCTCTGTGCTGGTTACAAAGGAAGCTTTGATGACTATCTAGAATTGCATATTTATTATTTCAAGCTCAAATTCAGTTCTTAGTCATCAGTCTGAGACATGAACAGAGGAGTTTCAGACTAATGAGTACTCTAACAGTTGATTATTCCCTGATAACCTTTCTTCTTTTCATCAGCTTTTTCACCCTAGATTTGGGAAAATTAAGCTGATGTTATCACTTTGATCTATACATTCTTCTGAAAATATTAGCACGCTGATGCTTACTGAAAAATCCCTCATCAGTTCTAACTATCCCCATTATTAACTGTGGCATGAAGAGTAGAAAATCTGTCTACTCAGCTAATCCTCTCAATCCTTATTTTAAATCAACTTTCCATTTATGAATTATTTCAACTTCTCTTGGGCACTGAGAACTAAAGACATATGTGAGGTATGTTTCCGTATATACAAACAAAATCTCTTCTTGTTCTTCCATGTTCCAGGAGACAGATTCCTAGATTTTTTTCTCATCTGCAAGAAGATTAAATGAGTAGGATTAGAAAATAATGAATCAATTCTTCAGTTAGGAAAAAACAAACCCACAAGATGTTGCTTATTTCTTATTCATTCTGACTTCATCTCTTTGAAATTGTTCCTGTTGTAGCACTCAGAATGACCAATGTGCAGCATGGTAGCTTATCACATTTGTCATGATGTGCTAAGATAATAAGTAGAAAAGAGTTGTCACTGTAACTGGGGGTTTTGGATTTTCTTTTTTTTTTTCCTGTTTTGTTTACTTATTCTAATTAAATGGGATTTAGGAATGAGCTATGACTTTGCCTGGGTGATTATAACTAACTACATGTTAGTTTTTCACACTTCCCCCACTACCTCCTCCTCCTCCTCTGAATATTTTTTGTACCTGAACAATTTCTGCCAAGTTTCACAAGGGTCTCTCAAGCAGCTGAGACAAAATAGGTTAGTTGCTATATACTGCAGGACGTATATAACTGAAATTCATTTAGTTCTACTGTTCATAGAATGGAAAGTTTCAAGATTAAAATTCAAAATCTTTATTATTGCTTATTTACTCAATTTGAATTGTAATGATAGAAAAAAGCTTACAATTGTTTGGTCTTTTTAGCTTTGAAATATGTTTTCTTTCCAGTGCCTAATAATCACTTATGTACTTACCAGTTTTTAAGGAATAGGAATAGTTTCTTTTATTTGTTTGTTTGTTCCACAAAAGCTAGATAATTTTGAAGTTTGCCTCTGCCTTTTTTTGCTCCTTGTCTCTCCTGTACTGTGACTTTTTTTAAATGCCCTCAAATATACAAACATCTGACCAGGTCTAAAATTTATGGGAGCACCAACAGGAGACTCACATTTTAGCACATCATCTAGACAGCAATGAGATACGTTAAGGCATCTCAAACTGCAACAAGAGCTGTGGAATTTAAATAATCAGTATGGTATAAAGAAGACATTTGAGATTGTCCTAAAGTTAGCACTTGTGGTGTACCTCGTATCATGCTTCATCATTAATTCTTTGGATGCTTGAGGAATTCCCTGGCTAGTCTTCTGTAGAGATGAGAAAATGGACCAGCCTGAAATAGTGACTGGCTGAATTCTTAGCTGCCTTCACAACTAAATATTTGACTCACTGGTACAGGTGCTCTTTGCATGCCAGTTTCATATAATACAAATGATTCTGCCCCAGGCAGTTCCTGATATGCCTTTTGCACACTGATAGGCAATTTTTGTGTAGATTACGGTGCTATGCCCCTCAGTTTCTGCTGCAGAATTGACTAAACTGTGCATTGATAAAACATATTAGTAGTGACCATAAATTCTTACTGAAGATTCAGAAATGGTCACAGAGAACAGACTTTTGCAAATAATTATGTAGGTTCGGTGACATTTGTGATAGCTTTAAGATAATAACAATGGATCATCCTGATGCTGTTGCTTAGTCACACAAAACCATGAACCAGCTGGATAATAAGGATTCTTAGAATCATAGAATCACAGAATCAAGTAAGTTGGAAAAGACCTTTAAGATCAAGTCCAACCCTTAAACTGGGACTGCCAAGTCCACCACTAAACCATGTAACTGAGGGCCTCATCTACATGTTTTTTGAACAATTACAGGGAATATGATTCCACTACTTCCCTGAGAAGCCTGTTCCAACACCTGATCACCCTTTTGATGAAGAAATTTTTCCTAATACACAGTCTAAACCTTCCCTGGCGCAGCTTGAGGCCATTATCTCTTGTCCTATCACTTGTTACTTGGGAAAAGAAAACAGCCACCTCCTCTCTTCATCCACCTTTTAGGTAGTTGTAGAGAGCAGTAAGGTCCCCTCTGAGCCTTTTCTTCTAGAGTAGAAGACTTAACAAGCCCAGTTCCCTGAATTCATCAGTAAAGATATTAAACAACACTGTCCCTAATACCAAGCCCTAAGGGACACCACTAGTGAATGACAGCCAACTAGTTGTGAGACTATTCACTGCCACTCTTCAGGCTCTGCCAAACTGTTTTTTTTTTTAACCCAGCAAAGAATACACATATCCAGGCCATGAGCAGCCAGTTTCTCCAGGAGGACACTGTGGGAAACAGTGGCAAATGCTTTACCAAAGTCCAAATAGAATCATAGAATAGTTAGGGTTGGAAAGGAACTTTAGATCATCAAGCTCCATCCCCCATGCCATGGGCAGGGACACCATGTCACTTGGGTGACACATGTCACCAACTCCATCCACCCTGGCCTTGAACACTGCCAGGGATAGAGCATTTGCAGCTTCCTTTGGTAACCCATTCCAGTGCCTCACCACCCTCACAGTAAAGAACTTCCTCCTTATATCCAGTCTAAACTTCCCCTGTTAAATTTTAACCCATTACCCCTTGTCCTATCACTACAGTCCCTGATGAAAAGTCTCTCTCCAGCATCCTTGTAGGCCCTCTTCAGATACTTCTCCAGGCTGAACAGACCCAACTTTCTCAGTTATCTTCATAAGGGAGGTGCTCCAGTCCCCTGATCATCCTCGTGGCCCTTCTCTGGACTTGTTCCAACAGTTCCGTGTCCTTTTTATGTTGAAGACACCAGAACTGTACACAGTACTCCAAGTGACATCTCACGAGAGCAGAGTAGAGGGGAAGGATAACCATCTTCAACCTGCTAGTCATGCTTCTTTTGATGCAGCCCAGGACATGATTTTCCCTCATCAGCCAGGCAGGTCACCTTGCTGTAGAAGGATATCAGGTTGGTCAAGATGGACCTGCCCTTTATGAACCTGTGCTGACTGACCCTGATCCCACAGTTTTCCAACACGTGATGTGTGATCTCACTTAGGATGATCTGTTCCATGACCTTCCCTGACACTGATTCATTAGAATCAGTTTGAGAAGTCTCTCCCAATCTCACTGAAGACATCTTCATGGAGACTGTTTGTGAAGAAGACTCCTGTCACCATCTGGACATCTATGGCCATTCACTGGGATGCTGTCTGAGAATCAGGAACTGAACTTCACCCCAATGACCCTATATGCTACTTCATCCCTTCAGTCTGTGTTTCCTCTTCATATTATATTCTCTACTCTGGAAAGGTACCTTAGCTGCACATCCCCAGTTACTTTCAATTTGGACAGAAATCTTCCACTCCTCACCCCTCCCACTAGAGGATTTTGTCAGGGTGCAAAAAACAGAACCTACTTCAGTTTTGTCCTGGTACAATTTTTTTAAGAAAACGAAGAATATATTTACAGCTTTATATAATTCAGTGTGTCTCTCTACACTTATAAACCTGTGTATGTGTGCATATAAATTTATAAAAATGTGTATTGTGTATATATATATATATATATATATATATATAAACACACACATTATATAATTTCTTGTTTCAAACAACCTACCATGTTATTCCAGGTACTATTATTTACGTGTATGGTAGCATGTCTACTAATTGATTCATTTTCAGCAAGACTACAGAATTATCAGACAGCATACCCATACTTCTGAAGAAAAGATAGAAGGAAAATTTTAAACACTACTTGAGAACTACATATTTTCTATGTCTCTGTTGCCAGCTCAGATTTGAGCCATTCCAACAATATCTGTAGTGTAAATATGCCATTGAAGTTGCTACCAAAAATAATAGGAATGAAAGTCATTCTGTATCATCTCAGATTTTAGAGTCAGGGACTTGTCCTTTTATTTATTTATTTATCATACTAGACAAAGCCAGGCTGGCTGATTCCCCCCTGGACTTCAGGAGCATGTCAGACTACATACATTCTTGGCACGGAAGCCAGCTATTCAGCAACTGCAAAATCAGCTGTGACTCTGAAATAGATCTCATAGGATATGAAAAAAAACAAAGTAAGCAAGGAAACAGATGCTCCTTGTACAGGTGCGAGTATGCTGTTTTTCTCCATCTGCCCAAAATTTCATAGTGTTAAGGTTTCAGCACTGAAGTTTAGACTCAGATGCATGTATACACATTTGCACATATACCCATTTATATTCAATCTGCCTCTTGAACAGGTTTTCTTCTCCTAGTTTGATGTGAACTGGCACTGCAAGTGTTCACGCATCAAAAAATATGATCTGGAGAGCTTCAGTATTGATCATCTGATGTTATTCACGGTTGTTTTTTTTTTTAGTGGTGGTGGTCTGTTATTTTTTGGTTGAACTTTGGTTTTGTCTGTTTAGTTTCACCCATCCCACTCCCCTGTCTCTGTTTTGGTCTTTCAGTTTACAGTCAAACTACATAGGTGATATGTTTTGCTCGTTGTATATTGTCATCCCTAAACACTAGCATTTCAGCTTCCTCTACATTTTTTTTTTCTGCTTTAGTTACTGGTATGTATACATTATTTTTGTCAGCATTTTCTTCTCAATTATGCCTTCTTAGATCAAACACAGACATCTGTGCATTCTTAAGCATTATGTGAAGAATTATTTCTGGCATAGATTCCCTTATGCATAGCTTAAAACTAAGAGCTATTATACTAGTAGTGTTCCATACTAGAGTAATTGATCAACTCTCACTGCAGTTATAAACACTGTAAAATGTTGGAGAGAAACTGGGTATTATACAAAGGTTTGAAAGACAACAGCTGTGGACAAGCTGTACAGCTGGCACATTTTAACTTGTCATAGCTGTAGAATGCAATTGACAAGTGTAGTTCATTCCCAGCTCTTGATTGCTTTCCTTAAAAATACAATTACACACTGCAAGTGAGGTTTCAGTCTTTTGGATAGAGAAAGGGAAAGAGAAAGAAAAGAGAGGAGGAGGAAATGAGAGATGGAGAGAGAAGTGGGGAGAAAAAGACCTGTCTTTACATACAAAGGAGGGAGGGAGAAGTGGGATATTAAGTAAAGGTTTTTCAATCATTTAATGGTTTACCCTGGAAACAATGATTGATCTGAGGGGAAAAATCTGCTGCTCTATCATACTAGTGAGTGTATTGCCTGGGAGCATGTGAAATGTTACAGTTTTTTTCTGGAATGGTGTGGTCAGTTTCTGGCATTCACTCTTCAAAGATGAAAGTGCACTGAAAAGTGATATCTTTATTTCATTATGGCTGATTGGGTTTTGCAAACAGTCCTAAGTACACAGTGCTCATGTTCCAAAATTACATGGTGCAATCCAGCTCTACTCAAAAAACTATGTTACTACACTTGGACTTCAGTATGATTGAACTAATTAGCCTAGTTTCTCAAGTGTATCACTGTGCTGGCAGCAAAAGAGGTTTTATCAAAACTGGATCATGTGCCAGTTTGGATAGACAGTGCACACTTGAGTCTATTTTCCTGACACAATACCCATACATTTCCAGGTAAACTGAAAGTAGAATGTAGTAAACGTACTGAAAATGAGGTATGAAAGTTTTGGGAAAAAAAAAAGAAAAAAAAAAAGAAAAAAAAAGGAGGAAAATACCTCAGTAAATTTCCTTTCAAAATGCTACCATTCCTGTTTTTCAAAATAGCTTCTTTAGATGAAGTGTTGCTAACAATGTTATGTTACAAATATTAAAGTTCATTTCATTATTTTGTTAATACGCAGTGTAAACTCTACTGTAAGCTTGTGTCAACATGCTTCTTTTCTACCTACAATTTCTCGGAGGGAATTAATATGTGATTTACTGATGTGCCCCAAGCATCATTTTTAAACATTTATTAACAAAATTCATGTAAAAAACATCAGCTAAGTATAGAAGGATAGTGGCTGCTACCTTTACAGTCAGTTTTAAATCAAAGGAAGAATGCCATAGTTTTCTTCCTAAAAACATCAAGTGTAAACTTTTTCAACATCTTGACTTTTCCCTGGAATAGAGCCACAGATATGTTATTATCTCTTTGTTCTTTTAAAAATATTGACTTTCATCTGTGTTTTCTACAGCTCTATGTTTTCTTCTACTCCCTCTATAAGAGGGTTACAGCATTGGTAGATAAAGGAAGAGCAACTGACAGCATCTTCCTGGACTTGTGCAAAGCATTTAACACTGCCCTACATGACATCTTTGTCTCTAAATTGGAGAGGCACTGATCTGATGGATAGACCCCAGGGGTCAGTGTTGGGGCCAGTGCTGTTTAACACCTTTGTCAGCAACAGGAAGAGTGGGATAATGTTTACCCTCAGCAAGCTGTGTGGTGCAGTCAACATGCTGGAGGGAGGGGATGCCATCCACAGGGACCTTGGCACATTTGAGAGATGGGCCAGTGCCAGCCTCATGAAGTTCAACAAAGCCAAGTTTAAGACCTTGCATGTGGGCTGGGGCAATCCCAAATACAATGCAGGATGGGCAGAGAATGGATTGAAAGCAGGCCTGAGGAGAAGGACTTGTGGACGTTGGTTGATGAGAAGCTCAACATGACCCAGCAACGTGTTGGCAGCCAAAAAAAAAACAGCTGTGTCCTGGTCTGCATCAAAAGAAGTGTGACCAGCAGGTCAAGGGAGGTAATTATACCCCTCTCCTCTGCTTTCATGAGACCTCACCTGATGTACTGCTTTCAGCTCTGGGCCACCCAACGCAAGAAGGAGGTGAACCTGTTGGAGCAAGTCCAGAGGAGGCCACAAGGTTGATCGGAGGGCTGCAACACCTCTCCTATAAAGAGAGGCTGAGAGAGTTGGGCTTGTTCATCCTGGAAAAGAGAAAGCTTTGGGGAGATATTAAAACTGCCTTCCAGTACCTAAAGGGGACTTAAAAGAAAGCCAGAGACATTTTACAAGGACATGTTGTGACAGGACAAGGAATAATGGTTTCAAACAGAAAGACATTATGTTTAGATTAGATATTAGAAATAAATTATTTACCGTGAAGGTGGTGAGGCACTGGAAGAGGCTGCCCAGAGAGGTGTGCTGCATCCTTGAAAGTGTTCGAGGCCAAGTTAGGTGGGGCTTTGAGCAGCCTGGTCTAGTGGAAAGTGTCCCTGCTCATTACAGGGGCCTGGAGTTAGGTGACTTTTAAGGTCCTTTCCCACACAAACCATTCTATGATTCTTCTAGCTATACTAGTTAATAATGAATTATTAGATTACCTCAAAATTCTTGTCTATATACAAGATGTTGCTTCCTCTGTCTCACAGTTCCAATTTTTTAGTCCTAAAGCATCACCTCCTGTTGTTACTCAGGATATTTTATTTTTTTTCTGTATGATTCAATATAGCAATATGAGGCCAGTTTCACTGACGTATTTTCCAAGAATTAGTTCAGTGAAAGAGTAATCATTTTAGGCTTTTCAGTTACCTAAAGTTATAGTTTTTGTCATGTGAATACACCACTTTTTTAAGGCTTATTTGAAAAAAAAAAACACCACCTTGAAACCCTGGTATAATTTCTGGGCTGAATGAGAGTGCAAATTAGAACAGTCAGTATCCCCGTGGTTAGAGCAGTAATTCTGTAGATGTCTGTTAACCTGAAGACAGATGAATTAATCAAATATATGGGTGTGAATTTGTTCCCTTTTATAGACAGATAAATTTTAAGTCTATCCATTAATATATTACTCTGGCAGAATTTAAATGTGTTCTATGAAAGTTTGTGCAGAACATGTCTGATATCTTTAGCACCCAAAAATCAAGAAGGAATTAGAAAATATATGTTTGACTCCTGAAAGGCATTAGTGAATGTAGTACTTCTTTAGCTCAATAATTTTGGAAGTTTGAGCTATGTGAATTTTACTTAGGATAACAATTTTATTTTTTTAATTATTGCATATCCCCCCCAAAAAAAACATTTTTGAAGTGCATATGCTTAAAATGAATTATTTTAAAATCCACTTACTTTTCATTCCTTTTTGACTTACTTTATAGGTTTCATGTAAAGTCAGCATGGGCACAAAAAACTGTACTACTGTCATTTTACCTTGTCTAATGGTGGAACTTCAATACTCTAATCAATTCTCTTAAATGTCCTGTCACTTCAAGAACTGAAGTTTAGCATTTATAGTTTAATTCAAGACTTCCACAAAGGTGTATTTTCATTCATCTATTATGTTAGGCTCAGCTGTTTAGGGCAGAGAGGGATATGCTGAAACTGATGTTGTGTTTTCTTCTTAGACATGACTTGGGAGTAGAGTCATTATTCTGTGCATACAAGCTGATCTTCAGCATGACTTTTTCCAAAAACTGGATTTCCATAAGAGCCAAATACTTAGATATACAGATACTTAGAACAGTATCTGTATAGAAAAGAAATTATATTGTTCTGCTTTCAGAGATATTGTTACAAAGCTGAAGCCAATTTTCTTACACAAATGTAAAATT